CTTGTTCTGGATGGCGCGAAATTTGAATTTGCCGCCGTCGTCCAAACCTAAAAGAATTCGTTGTATTGCTGTCGCATAAGATATGTAAGTATAAAAAATAAGGTATAATTTGATATAAAAATGAATGTAATAATTCAAAGTCATTAGGTATAGCGGGTTCCTTTCTGCGGTTTTTTTGACAAGTCCCAGAGAATGTTTGTGGAAAAGTAGAAATTGAGCTTTTTACACCAAACTTTTTCTAGAAGCAGCCGCTTCCTACTAGCCATGTACTCGAATTCCGGCCGATACTTCACCGCTATCGTATCCCTTCTGGTATGCGTGGCTCTTCGATTACCGACAGCTTTTGCCATTGAAGTAGCTGAGTATCCGAATTGTGATGACTACTTCAATACGAAGACCACTCAGCCAAGGTAGGACAATCTCAAAAATTTGGAGATTTCGAGAAAAATCCACTAATTTTTCGTTTTTTAGGGAATGGACAAAGCATTCAGAAATCTTCTACTTCTTCGACTGGCACGTCATGACGATTGCTCAGACCTTAGTGCCGTTTATCATCCTGTTCGCTCTGAATATCGTAAGCAAGCATTTTTTGTGCAATTTTGCGTATATCTAAATGTTTTGGCTCAGGCGGAGCTGTCGAGCGTGCGGTTGCTACAAAGCTGTCGTTTTATACAAACTGTTATAGATCGAAACAGAAAGCCAGTTCTGAAATTTAATCTGGTAAATTATTTGCAACGCACACGCACGGCAATCTTGCCCTACACTCGTACCATATTATTACCGTACTCGTTGATTACGGTAAGCGCAAATTGCCAATTCAGGTAATCATTCGAAAGCTGACTATCACAACCCAGAAGAAAGAACTCCTTTGCGACCGTTCATCAGCCCCAGTCGATTCGCTGAACACTGGTAATGATAGCGAAGGTTATTAAATAAATAAAATTGCATGGTAGTGAAAATAGAAAAGCTTGAATTCTGACCTTTTCCTTAGTAAAAAAAACTATTATATTTTAGTGATTTCGCTTTCGATTCGACCTGTGAAGAGCGTGAGCGCTTCGGTGAGAAGCGCTATCATGACCATGGTTGCCATCGTTGCTACTTATCTAATTTCGAATACAC